GTGAGGGGGGCAGGACGATGAAGGTCTACACTTCTTCCCAGCTGACTGGCATGGTGATGATCTCCAGTCCCCTCCGTCCGTATCTTGTAACGAAACGGAACCTGGTAGCTGGGATCGGTGATGGACTTGCCTGGCCACACTTGGCTTTGAGCTGCCAAGAGACGGGTGGTTACCATATTGATGTCCTCACAAACCGTTCGAGGGCAAGAGTTAGGCCCGATCCACGAGTTCGGTGGTTTGAGCTGAAGATGCGAGGGTCGGACGTCATCTCCGATTCAAGGACCAAGGCTTATTCCGTGAGACGCGGTATAGTAGTCCTGGCTTGCCGGAGCTACCTATGAGTCCTGAATCGTGCTCGACTATACACGGCTCATAAAACGGCGAGCCCTAGTTAGGTTTCAGAGGCCTTTTCTGCTGTGTAAAGAAATCACAGGCAGGGCCGGGGTCGGGTCTCGCTCTCCTACATGGAGATACATATCCGTGTGGCGTATGTCAGGCCAAGGACAGGCCATCAGGCCAAGGAGAAACAATGCTGAGTAACGTCGAGAGCAGGCCCTTGGTTGACGTTGTGAAAGAGATAATCACCGGTTCTAGGTTGCTTATTCAACCGTTGATACTCGTTAAAATGGTTGTGGTTGTCCTCATCTTCAGCGTGTAAGCCACGAGCAACATTGTACGCAGATAGGTGTGTTGTTGCAACGGATGGCAAGAAAAAGGGTGTGGTTTGCGTTGCCCGGCAGGTTACCATGTGAGGAGTACACATGCCTGTTTCCATGGCCTAAAAACGAAATATGGTTCCGGTGCTCTGTTTCCAAAGATCGGAAGTTGCCATGTTTCTGTGCTGGCCTCCGTGAGAGCGATGGGGGCAGTGAGGCAGTGAGCCGGAGGGTAGCGGAGAGAAGTGGAGTGTGTGTACTCCATTCGTGACCGAAGTATTTGGTGATCATCCACCAGTTCGAGAAGAGCTTTGCCTCCATTGTGTGCTACGTGCATTCTCTGCGATGCAAGTAGGACGATCCTGCAAGGTCACTCAGTTGATTCTTCGTTTTTGTTGACATGGTCGTCTGCTTGACATCTGATGACGTGAGAGGTCTCTCTGAGAAGCGAAGCTGCAAGACAAGCCAGCCTTCCCGAGACATTTGGTGCTCGCAGTGGGCACTCTGAAGCCTTTTCCAAACGGCGGGCAAGAGAAGAAAAGAAATGAAACATGGAGAAAAGGGTCGGAAAAGAGGATGGAGCTAAACTGCAATGGGAGAAAGTTTGCGATCTGTCAGACGCAGGTACCGTCGAGATGGTGGTGTCGTGCACGGACTGCGCCCTTGGTTCCTGCCATGCAATGTGGGGTTGCAAGGTGAGACGCAGCTGCCAAGTGCTCGAGAAAATAACAACTCCTCGTAGGGCCTCTCCACTTCGTCCAGAAGTTTCTTCACATTTCAGTCTGCTCCGTTTTCCGTCTTACCGTACGGCGTAAAGTCTGAGTGTTTCTGTAATTTCCGGGTCATCGTAAACCAAAACCTTTGGTCATCAAGAAGAGTCTCCTCTTAACCATGATTCGGATGATTCTGTCAAGGTCCCTTTGAATGAAGGGCCGAAAGGAAAAGAGGAAACGAGTATCTCAGAAGCACAAACTACTGCTGTGCCACAACCAAGGAGATTACCTAGATCTGTGCTGCACTCCAAGTTGAAGCCTCATCTCGAGATCTCGAGCTCTTGAATCATCTCAACCTTGATTGGTCAATGGCTTCATGCTGTGTATATGTGCCAAACGGTCCAACAGCTTTGACGGCCGGCATAATGAATCGAGGTCCAGTTCGCGCATCGTCGTGCCTCCGTTCATTTCATTTTAAACCTGCAGCTCGACAGCAGGCATCGTCCTTGTCAACTGCTGACAGCGGTCAGGCGGTCACCGGCGACAGCCCCGCGGGCAATGAACCTTCTTCGTGCGAAGAGCGGAAAGCCAGCGCGGACATATCCTCCGGATGACTTGTTACAGACCACTTTTGTGAAGAGGTTAAAAGGCATCTCAAAAAGCAGCCAAGACCTGCATTCAACACTAATCCATTCTAGAAGCGATGTAGAACTGACAGTCTCATACGAAAGTCTTACCCGTTCCGTGGCCGTGGGTGTTGATCCTGATATCTCCGAAGCCGCATCTCACACAAAGCATCTTTTGGGCTCGCCCGAGGCTCGATGAATGTTCGGTTCTTTTGACAAAACTTTTCCATTCTCTCTCTCTCTGTCTTCGAAAACTCTTCGCACATTTATCCCGTATCCCCCGACCTTCTCTTTAATCGGGTTTATCCACTCGCCTGAAAACTAGTTGCGGAACGATGACCGAAGATCCCAAAATGCGAGAAACGGTACTTTGGGTAAGGGGTGGGGTTCCCTCAATTTCCCAACAGTGGAGATATCTTATACACTCCCACTCTTTCCAGTTAAACAACCGCAGCTGAACAAGTTCCAACATTTTCATCAACACCGTGACCATCTCGACCACCTTGCCATCAAAGACATCGTATTCCCAGTGGAAAGTCCCCCCATCGCATGCAGATCTCTCAAGATCCCCGTTCATCTCATCGAATTTCGGCAATGTGCTCGCGTGAGTGCTACGCCAGATCGGGTTTAAACCGCATCTTGCCATGTTGATTTTCCCACGATGCGACGATGCTACCCTTCCGCGAAAATCCCGGTACACGAGGTGATGAGGAAAAGAGAATCTCGATCTTATCACTTTTCTACAACTACACTAGACCTTCGGCAATTGCGCATTTGCGTCATCACCACCATCTAACAATCGCAAACTTGGAAGTTTTATCTGAACCGTAATTTTACTTTCGTCGAGACTAGGAGGCGTGTAGTTGTTCTTCATGGAAGGAAGTCATCGTGATCCATTTATCATTCTCTTCCGTAATGTGGACGGTAGGCCCGGGTTTCACCGCGCAGTACGGTACCTACCTACCCTCTGCCCTGTCGTCCCCGGTGGGCGGCGGTGAGGGCCGTGAGATTACGGACCACCTTATTACGTACTGGACTGAACTTCCAAAACTTCCGTTCTCAAACCCGGCCCAGACACACCGGGGCTTCCTCCGGCTCGGTTCGGTAACTGAAGAAATGAATACCGAGGGAATGGATGTTTTGGGAACGAACCGAAATGCCAGTGCTCGATGGTCCTTGAATGTCCGACATCGACACTAAGAAGAAACTGAAACAGCCGCCAGACTGCCCGTGTCTGATGCAGGTCGGCGCTAGGAATAATGAAAGTTGATGCAAGGGATTCATCGCAATGCGACTTCATACATACCACGTGGCCTGGTGATTGATCATATTTTAGTTGTAGACTCCGGGGAAAGCTAGTGAAGACCCGCGATAGAAGTTTGCTCAAGTTTATCAGTCGGTGTTTCAGCACTTTGAAACTCATCATTGCTACCTCACCAATAGAACTCACACGGGACCGAGGAAGAAGGCAATGTCCGGCCAAAATAGGAGTCGATCCACGATCAAGACGAATCTCGAAGACTTCTCGCCCACGATGGGAAAAAAAAAAACAAAAAAAAAACAGCTTCACAAAGAAAGAAAAGATGCATCCGCGAGTGAGGTTTTAGCTTAACGGTGCGAGCAGGAATGCTTAAAAAAAAGGAAAAAAGATTGGTCTCTCCCCGCCGGGAATTGAACCCGGGTCTCGAGCGAATCGAACTGATGTTCAAGCTTGACAAGCTCACATACTGACCACTATACTACGGAAGACTTACAGCTGTGATCAGCTGTCGTAGTAATTGTTGGAAGATTCTTCGGGTGCTGTACTTATGAACTCGCAACTCTAACTACATTCTTCTGCCGGAGTACTTTTGGACTCTTCAGACGGCAATTGTTCAACATCGGATTTTGCCTTCCATTCATTGTTGACTCGCCATTATCTCTCCTTCTAGGAAACACCAACTCCATCGTGTGCGCATTATCACCAACCCTTTCCCAACCTCCCCCGACCGTTATCCATTTTTGGCATCATGTGAATTCTTCGCCCCAGGCAGATAACAGGCAAATGCCCATCTCACCAGTGCGTTTCCAGCCTGTATCTCCGGGGCGAGGCACTTGATTACGTTCGCCACCAGCATCCAGACACCTCCAGATGGGCGGTTGAGGGCGGATATCGCCGGATTCAGGGCTTATCCTTTACATTTTCTGGTAGTTCTTCGGTAGTCAGGAGGAGAATTGGGTCTTGGCTTGTGTTGGTTGCACCCAGATGCGCCCAGGATTACCACATTAGAGGCACGTTACAGGCACCATTTGACTTCATCGCCAGCTTAATGCGGGGGACCTTCCTGTTTGGGCCTTGTCATGGTCGCGACCAGAATCTTTTTCACGCTTTGCCCAGGAAGAAAAAATGTTGTCGAGGAGCCTTGAACCTTGATATCTGGAGAACTGCCATATCTTTGCGTCTTGAACCTGTCAATAACAAATTCCCCAAGCCCACATCTCTGTCTTTTCTTGAATATCGAATTCTTCCATTGTGTTGTTGACTTTGGCGTATCGCAAATCCTCGAACCCCTGATCACAGCGCATCTGCAGTACCGTAGCCGGCAATCAACCCCACCCCCGCATTCACCATGAGCAGCCTTCTTCCCCAGAAAGTTTCCATGGACCTTCCGGTCATCGACCTCGACGTCTACCTCAACAACCCCGTTGACTCCCCCAAAGTCAAGGCCGAATGCGAAAAGGCCGCCAAAGCTCTCATCACCTACGGCGCCCTCGTTCTCCACGATTCGCGCGTCGCAGAGAAGGACAACGAGACCTTCCTCGATCTCCTCGAAGACTACTTTGCGCAGCCCGAAGAGGAGCTCCGCAAGGATGAGCGTCCCGAGCTGAGCTGGCAAATTGGTGTCACTCTGGAGAACACCGAGAAGCCCAAGTGCGCCGTTGACGAGCCATGTCTGAACGTCATCCAGCGCCTTGCGCCCGAGGAGAGGCCATTGGATATTTCCGGCCACCACCCTGATCCCAAGTGCCGTTTCTTCTGGCGCATGGCCGAGCAGCCTCCCTACGAGACCAAGTTCCCCGGCTTGAACTCGGAGAATGTCGTTCCTCAGGCGCCACACATCAAGGAGCGCTGGAACCCGGCCATGGAGCAGTGGGGTACCTCGATGAAGAGCGCCGTCGAGGGTCTCACTGAGATGACTGCCGTTGGTCTCGGCCTGCCTGCTGGCACCTTTAAGGATGAGGGCAAATACGGGTATGTCCATCTGTTTCCTAAACACCAACCTCGGTTTCTCATCTTGAATCAGACTGACATTTCCTCCCAAAACAGCCCCCATCTTCTCGCCCCCACCGCCTCGGACCTCGAAAAGTACGGCCAAAAGGATACCATCCTCGCCGGCTTCCACACCGATCTCAACTTCCTCACCATCCACGGCCGCTCGCGCTACCCAGGTCTGCACATCTGGGCCCGCAACACGGGCAAGCGCATCGCCGTCAAAATCCCTCCCGGCAACTACCTCTTGGTGCAAGCCGGCAAGCAGCTCGAGCACATCACTGGTGGTCTGATCAAGGCCGGCTTCCACGAGGTGGTCGTCAACCAGCGCACTGTCGATGTCATGGCGAAGCGCAAGGAGCAGTTCCCCGATCGCCCATTGATCCGCATCAGCTCGACTTTCTTCTGGCATCTGAACTCGGATCACGATCTTGCTCCTATCCCCAAGCTCGCTGAGGAGGCGCACAGGTTGCGGGCGGAGCAGTTTAACTTGGGCAGGGATGAGGGTGAGGAGAAGAGCTACCCGCCGATGAAGGTCGGCGAGCTGGTGCAGGAGGAGTTGAAGCATATTGCTTTGATGGCTTAGAGGGTCAGTGGAAAGAGGGTTGGAGAGGGTATGTACAGAACCAGGAGGATGTACGAAAAAAAATTGGATTCATATTTTAGCATTGCATATAAAGTTGTTTTGTTCGAGATCGTCTTGCTGTTCGATAACGGATCGGTTCTCTGTGATTCGTTTACACGTGCATTCGTTTCCCAGCAGCTTAGGTGAACACTGTCGCTATGTGAGCGAGATGCTCAACTGCGATGTACAACCCCAGTTGTTCCACCAGCTCCAAGATCACTACCTCGACATTGCGTTCGAGTTACAGATCAACCGTATGTAGGATAAAATCAACCAGAAATACGAAAAAGACCGGCGTGCATGTTGTTCCACCGCCCCGGCCAACGCCCCCCAATATCGTGGTGCTAATTGCTAACAGCATGCGCATCCTCAATGCAATATTATAAGACCACCAACCACGGCAATCACTAACAACCAACTACGACAGCTGATTAACAGTTGTACATCTTCCGTAGTATAGTGGTCAGTATGTGAGCTTGTCAAGCTTGAACATCAGTTCGATTCGCTCGAGACCCGGGTTCAATTCCCGGCGGGAGAGACCAAACATATCTTTTTTTTCTTTTTTTCACCTCAAAAGGACATCACACTCCCTCCCTCCAGACGATATTTCCTTTCTTTCTTCTCCCAACTCCTTCTCACACAGAGGACGGTAGGTACATCATCACTGTTTATAATACGAAAGGAGGCTAGAGGAACTAGAAGCTTACATTTTTGCAATCGTATTCAAAATTCGGTCTTAAAACTAATATAATCAGAAGCTTGGGTGATCCCATTATTCCAAGGCTATCTATCATATTTACATACCCACCTTAAACTAAGACTCAACAACTTCTAAAGCAATACTCGAGCAATTCAACCCCCCATACCCAACATCAACATCCCTCCCCAAACTCAACATCAACCCACACCCAACCCACCCACCTCCTCCATCAGCGCCCGCAACCGCACCCGCACTCGTCCCATTAGCAGCAGGGGCACAACTCAACCCTCCTCCATCCCTCGTACACTCCAAAGCTTTATAATCCTCCCAATAAGCCTTCAAGGTGCCCTGTCTCAACATCCAGACCGGTCCCTCACCAGCCTCCCCACTTTCAGTATGCGTCTCATCCTCCTCCGTACCGGCACCGGCACCAGCAACACCAACAGCAGCAATCCTCGGCTTCCCATTTGAATCACCATATCCCACCGCACACAAATGCCCAGTCCCCTCGACACTAAACGCGCTTCCTTGGCTCTGACTGCTAGTAAACAGTAGCCCGTTGCCAACGACGTGGACGAACCATTTGTCAAAGGTACCGCCGGGTTGGGTGACGCGAAGGGCGAAGGGAGTGGTGGTTTCGCCGCAGGTTAGGTCTTCTGTTGCTGTTGCTGTTGGTTTGGCTGATGTTGTGGTTGTAGGGGTAGATTTGTAATAACCTGTGCCGGTGATGATTATCCCCGTGCCGATACCTGTACCGGTGCCGAGGATAGTAGATGATGTTGTGGCGGTTCCGTTGGACCAGAAGGCTGTAGTGTTTAGGGGGAAGGGGAAGCGGGCGCTGGTTATTACTGTTGTTGTTGTTGTTAAGTACGTGAATGGAGCGGTTGTTAGGATTACTCCTGTGCCGGTTGTGAGTATAATTGCTGTCCCGGTTCCTAGGGGCGGAAAGGTGGTTGATGTCCCGTTGGACCATGGGGCTGTGGGGTTTTGGGGGTAAGGAATTCTTGCGCTGGTGGTTGTGATGGGCCTGCCCATTCCGGTTGTGAGAATGATTCCTGTTCCGGTTCCCAATGGTTGAATGCTCGTTGACGTGCCGTTGTACCATGAGGCCGTAGTGTTCTGAGGGATCGGTAACTTGACACTCGCGGTTGTTGAGATCACTCCCGTTCCGGTGCCTGCCAGTATTGAGCTGGTGGAGGTCCCCTTATACCATGACGCTGTGGTGTTTAAGAGGATCGAATAATTGACACTGGTAGTAGCGTTAAGCCGTGAGGAAGTTGTAATGTTCTCAAATGCTGTTGCCAACACTGCCGTAGAGTCAGTATAAGGGGCAAGCGTGGTATTGCCCGCTAGATGGCTGCGCGTAGATGTCGTGTTCACCCATAATGGCTCTTTTGTCGTCGTCAGCGTTGCAATATTCACCACATGGACAGTCGACTTAGTGGTGGAAGAACTTGACAAGCTGGAAACGCTTATTGACCCTGAGCCATTGCTTGTTCCTTTAAAAATTGCTTTGGAGCTCGACAAGGTTGTTGTTCTTGAGACGCTGCTTAAGCCCCAACCACTACTTACTCCTTTAGAAGACGACACTCGACTCGTAAACAGTGTTGTTGGGCGTGTCGAATTGGTTCTTCCGCTACTCTTCCCCGTGTGTATCGTACTTCCAACCGTTCCTGTACCATTTCCTGCTAGTCTTGTAGTGTTGGCAAAGAAAGGCGGCAGAGTAACGTTGCCAACTGTCCTGATCACAGTGACCGTCTTCGTAGTGACTGGCTGAGCAGCAGCTCTAGTGATTCGAGGGAATCCCAAGCAAGAGCATGCCAAAGAGTAACCGGCTTCTGAGGCGCATTCTTTCGCATACAGAGGTAGTGTCATCGAAGTTGGGCTCGTGGTTACCCGCCGCTCTTGGAGGGCCTCCGGCGGTACGGGTAAGTGGCCCGGTGCCGCCTCGTTGAGAGCATCGTCTTCGCCTTCGGACCGCTTATGATTTCCATTATCACCGGTTTCAGAAGCTGTCGAGCTCGTTTGCCCTGTCTTTCTGGCAACGGTCGCAGAGCGATGTAGTGTAAGAGTTGCGACCCTCTGTGTGCTGGTCACCGTGGTCGTGGTCGTCCTTCGGCTGGGTGTTCCCGTGGGGGAAGCTTGCAGCTCAAGAAAGGACAAACAGTCTGCCGTCGCATTTCTGCCACTTGGCGCATTTCGAATGGCTATGTAAAAAACAGCGTGTTAGTGATCAAGTGTTTTTTAAGTAAGCAAAGACGACAATTCGAGTTCGAAGTCATCGCGATACCTCTAAGGCGAGGCCGGAAGGTTGAAACGAGACGGTTACGTCAAGCAACAGGGCATCCGCTAACAGTTGGCTACAGGGTAAACATACCGCTAAGACAGCTGTTAATGTCGTTCAAGCACTGCGCAGCAAACGCTTGGACCAAGCATAGCGCTAAGATAGCGAGCTGGATCCTCCTTCTTGTCATTGCAGGCGTGATGTCTTCTTTCTCTTTACAAAGTTGCGTTCAAGTGAACTCTCACAGGGGCATCTTCCAGACTTCGCGCTGATTATCAGTAATTTCACAACACAGTCTTTCGCTCTCATCCTTGGATTTGGCAATCGCATTGACCATCCCGGAAAGCAGGTTATAAGGTGGTAGTGAACCGTTGTCGGTATGCACAATGCCCCTGTTGACATCTTAACATGGCTTCTTATACCCCTCGGTTCCCGATGACAACCTGGTACGGGAGAAAGGATGGCTCAAATCACTTGGATAGACCCTTTCCCGGGAGACATTCTCCCCACTTTCCAGGATTTGTGGAAATCAAACAATGCGGTTGACCTCTGGGTCACCTCAAGCAATTCAGCTCTACCAGTCCTCCTGCTGAAGAAGAGGGGAATCACTCACCGGTGATATGGGTTGCAGCCACCATCATCCCACCTCGACATGATGGGTTCGGCATCGGGTTCGTACCTGACGATCCCACCGTTGGGACCAGCAACCAAGACCAAGCGGCATATGCAATGAGACTCGAATCAATCCTTGGGGAGCTGAACCGCAACGGCTATGGTGGTCGCCTGAGCTCTGTCCAAACAGTCCAGTCCCATACCTACCGACAGCAACCTTGAGGAACCATAACACACGGGTGGCACAAGCAAAGGGAACGAGTATGATCAAGCCGGCTGATGTGCTGCCCCAAATGACAACAATAGGCGTGTTATCGCCGTTGCAAGCGTCCGTAAACACCAAAAGCAAGCCAAAGGACTGGTCACTGGAGGACTCCTTTGTCACACTATCAGCCGTGACCGCCCGCCAGCAAACGAAGTACAACCTCGGACACGGGAAAAGCTGTTTTGACCCGGTGAGGCCTATGCTCTCGGCCCCGGCTGCGGGTTGCAGCGGGCTCAAGAGTTTCGACTCCGAGGCCAGGCAAGAAGAAGTACCATTACCAAAAAGGGATCTGGCAGTATGTCGATGTGTCCCAAGTAGGCTTCCTACATACCTCTCTCCTTGAGCTCTCTCTCCCTCTTCGGGGTCGAGGGTCACTGGGATAGGTATGTGCAACATTTGGCACCACGCAACCATGGGCCCGAACAGATTGCATATGTTGTGTATCGCAAGCTCGCCCAAGGAATTTGTTCTTCCTATAAGACACCTCTTGACAGCTTGTTGAACCCAGAACCCACTCTCCCCTCCCCCCCTGTTAGGTCTCAGTCTGGCACACGTCCTCAACCCTTAACCCATGGAGGACGGTTTTGCTGCCGCTGCCGCTCTTCTCTTTCTACCACTATCATTATCACCATCATTTTCGTTTGTAAGATGGAATCTGAAGATCGAGGATCCGAGATCCTCGCCATTACTTGGACGCTCACCGGTTTGGCAGCGCTATTCGTGATTGTCAGGATAGTATGGAAGTTTCGTTCCAACAAGACTAAGCTATGGTGGGATGACCATGTTTGTTCTCTCTCATGGGTAAGTGCACTCTCCATGCCATCTCCAGATATCTTCAACCACTCTGCTAACAATACAACAGTTCGTCCTCAAAACCTCCACCTTCATCATCACCATCGCCACTTCCAAAGGCCTCGGCAAACATGTCCAAGCCATCCCCGAAGAAAACCTCCCTGCCATCGGTCTAATCGGCAATTTTATCGGCACCCTCTCTATCCTCGCCTCGGTATGGAGCAAGACCTCGTTCGCCCTCACTTTACTTCACTTGCTGTCGGGCAGATGGACCAAAGACCTCCTCTGGCTTGGCATCGCTACCATCCACGTCTTCCTGATTGTCAACGCCCTCTTCATGTGGATTAGGTGCTCACCGGCAGCAAAGACGTGGGATGTCTACATGAAGGGGACGTGTTGGGATAACCAGGTGTATCCGCAGTATGCTATGTTTGCCGCTGGTATGTATCTGGATCTGTGTCAACAACAGTGCTGATATCGTACTGATATTTCATGGAAGTAGGCTACTCCGCAGCCGTAGACTTCATCCTAGTTCTCCTCCCCTTAGCATTATTCTATCAACTCCAAATGCTGCACTGGAAAGAAAGACTCGGCATTTCTCTAGCCATCATCGTCGCCTTTCTGTACGTACCCCTCCCTCCCTTCTCCCACTTGGAAATGCCAATAACCACCCCCCTTGCTAACCAACAACAACCAACATCCAGCTCCGGTGCCGGCGCCGTCAAGAAAGCAACCGTAATCTCGGGCCTCACTTCATCAGACTTTACTTGTAAGCACCATCCATCCTTCTACTCAAACCGACCCGTGTAGGTAGGTACTAATACAAGTCCTCGAAGTCACTACCGCCCCCCTAATCTACTACTCAACCGCCGAATCCGCCCTCACCATCATCGCCGCTTGCATCCTCTCTCTATCAACCCTTTCCCGAGTGGTTCAACCCCAGAGCTCAACAGTAAATAAGTCGCTGGCAGAGAACCAGAGTCAGACGTCGGAGAGTATCCCGCTGGGGGCAGCTAGCGCAGCTAGTGCAGCTAGTGGTCAATCGTCAGCGCCTCCGAGTTCTTCTTCCGGAAGAGAAAATAACAACGGTATTAGAGTTGTTGAAGGACGTGAGAGTGAAGGGGGAAGAGAGAGGAACCGTCCCTGGTATAAACTCCCGCCTGATACGAGTACATGGCCTGGGGTATTGATGTGATGAGATGTGGGAGTGCGAAGCGAGGGTGAACCAAGACAAGAGGCCTAAGATCGTGCAGATTTCGAGTAGTAGATGAAAAGGCTGGAAAAGAAGCGAATTCGGCTTGACTGCACGCCGCGCGGCGTAACTTACTGGAGGTACAACTTAGATGCTTTGTTTTTTTATTTTTTATTTATTTTTTCAACTAGGGGTCCTGTTGAGAATTCTGGTTTACACAATATCGTATCATGTCCCACAGTATAGAGCTAACTATGTAGGAGGGAGAGAGAACGGAAAATAAACACAAAAAGACCAGTTCTCAAGGGTAATTGAAAAAAAAAAGTTGAAAAAAAAGTTTCTGATTTGAAGCGTATTATCACAACCTGGAACCCGCAAGAAAGAGAAAAAACAGCTTTTGGTATGTAACCTTCCCTTCCCTTCCAGCCCAGCCCGTCCCATTCTAGCCCTTTTGTGTTTGCCGCAGATACCCCTTCCCTTTCCTTGCTTTTACTTTTCCCGCTCCCCTCGATACCTCTACTCCATTTCACTTATTTAACCTCGCTAACCCAACCACTGATTGCTCTTCCAGAGACCTTCCAGTCGTGTCTCCCTCCCTACACCAATCGGTCCCAACCAACCGTGGAGTAAATAAGGAGCAGCCAACCTTGAACCATTCATCCATCCCAATTAAAGACCCCTCACCTCATGTCACCGACCAAATCGCAGAATCAAACGGCAAACTAAGCTCGTTCCTTCCCCAAATCCAAACCCCCCTTCCTCCTCCTTGATTACCCGTGCCCGTGCCCGTGCTCGTGCCCATGTCCATTCCCATTCCCATGCCCATGCCCATGCTCGTGTCCAACACCACTACCACTCCCACTCTCACCACTCAACACATGCCTAACCCCACTCAACCCATGCAGCAACCTACTACTCGACAGCGCAGACTCATGGGTCCCCGTAGACAAAGAAATGGACATGGAGCTCCAGACACTACTCCTCCTTCCTTTTCGGTCATGTTCACTACCTCGCGTTCGTGATGTTCCTGGTCTCCTCGGTCGTTGTTGATGAAGTGGTGCGGTCGGCAGTGGCGGTAGTGGTAGCGGTAATTATAGTTGTTTGGACTCCCGTTTGGACTGTATGGCTTCGTGGGGAGTGGGTGTGGTGAGTATGGTGGTGGGTGTCGACGGTGTCGTTTTCCGAGCTGCTCCCATCTGTGTCTGTTTCTGAAGCGCATTCACCACCAGGTTGGTGGGATTCGTGAATGCTTGGTGGTATGGAGACGGGGAGGATCGCTTCTTCTCTTGAGCCTATGCATAGGGGTTGTGTTGCGTTAATTGTCGTATGGACTAGGTCTAAGGTAAGGTACAGGTATGAGGGTGTATGTTTCTAGGGAAAGTGAGTGGGTGGGAGAAAATGTTAAGAGAAGATATGGAAAAGAACATACAAATATTCCCAGCCCCTCCCCTACCAAATGATCGTCGACGGTTCATGTACTCGTCGCTCATGAACTGGGGTTTATATATGTGGAAGCGGTGGACCGGCGGGCCAGGAACTCTTTTAGTTTCATGGTGGGTTGTTTTGTTTGTTTATGGCTGTATACGGAGTATCTCCACAATAATCCGCTATCAAGGTACTCGAGTTGAAAGATGAAAGTGTAGGTGTGATGTATGGAAGGTTACTCGGTTACAGGGGACGCGAAGTGTAAAGTGCTTTGTTGATATTATTCTTCTTCTTGTTGCTGATGGTGTCAATGTTTTGTTGATGTAGTGGCTGTTACTGATGTACTTTGGGTTGTGTTTAGACCGGACTTGAGATTCGAGATTCGAGATTCTTGCGCGTGTAGGTGAAGGTAGGCATGAAGTGGATACTAGCTCCAAAAGTAGAGTTGATGTTCCCAAATGCGATGACGGGAATTGGTGAGAGGTGTTGCAACAGGTCCAGGAGATCAGAAGCCGAAAAGATCAAAGAGGTCGAAACAAGCATTCATTCATCGAACTCAAGAAATTCGACATATAAAGGGGCTGTTCAAGAGATCGGAGTGCAGCAGAAAATTTCATATAGGGAATTTTCATCGCAAACTTTGCAATCGGAGGAAGATCGGAGGAGGTTGTAAGTCCTGATCTTTATACAAAAGTGATGATGTTGCTAATATCGAAGTGTAACACCAACAACACTAGATCTGACTTAGACAGATCGAAAAGGCCAAAAACAGTCTGAGAGACCCCGGAGGCTCCACCTACGATGGAGGCCGGAGGCTAAAAGGGAGCGAGCACGCTATTTAAGCCTTTTCTCTTCCTTAGCTCGCCCAGGAGAAAATTGATGACACCCGAGTCCACCACTCAAAGCACCAAACTCGGCCAGAACACCACAAAAATCAGCGATTTTACCGCATTCGATGCCCACTGAGGGCATACCATCAAAGTTATACAGTCCTCATGTCTTCTGGGTAATCGATTCAGTTAGTTTTTGTTGGCTTCCTGGGCTTAGAACTTAATCTCGGGTCTCATCAATTTTGTCCCGGGCGAGCTTAGTTAACGAACGGGACAAGCACCTGAACGGGAACCTGCCGACGTGGTGAGGAATTCTAAACTCAAAACAGACATCGAAGATGGAGAAAGCCGAGAAAGAGCCACCCACAACTGCGGTGATGTTATTTAGATAAGTCCATGTTTTGTCATTGGTTCCTGCCTTCACATGCATTTCGGAGATCGGACGACGGGACAAGAGATAAACAGCCGGGCTGCTGGGGAGGGAGGGAGGGACGGGTGGGAAATCACAAGCTCCGTAGCGTCATTCTCCGCAAAGCTTGAGTTGTTCGTAGGTGGTGTCGATCCGATCATTGATTTACATCGAGCATATGATTCGGGAGAGGGTCCCGAATGAACAGCTTCATTGGTGGTGCTGCTGTTCTTAATAAACTCTACGAATGGAGATAGTGGCAAAAACCACCGGCAATAGTTTGTACGACGCTATTGCGTCACAGTTCGTGGGGAAGAAGGGATGAGATGTTGATGGCTGACTCCCGTGTCCTTCATAAGTTGGAGCACACCGGAATCTACGATAAATCGGATGTCAGTAATCTTCTCAACCGCCTCGAAGGAAAGATGACAACTACCTTCTCGCACCTCCTCCATACACTTTCTACCCTTAGCATCATCACGGGCAACAAGCAGGAAACCCACCACACAAAGAAGTCGTATGAAGAAACAAATCACGAACACCCAAATATTCCAAAATGATCACACCACCATGAATGATATCGTCTCCCATTTTTGTTTTTATCTTCCAGCGACCAACTACAGGTCCCACGCCTCGCTTGCTGAGCCAGATCCGAAAAAAATCGCCATACCTAAAGCCCAAAAAGAACACTCATTCGTACGTAAGAAGCCGAAAAACTTCCCTTTACCAACGTTGACAAACTCGGAAATTCAGCAAAGTAAAGATGCAACCGGCCTCCTCAAAGCAACCCGACTAATAATCGCCATTCCCTGTGAAACCAATTCCATCAAGCTCCTCATCACCAATCAGATCATGATCCTCCGGGTCAGGGTATTCCGATCCATCACCCTCCAGCCTGGCCACATACTGCTTCATGAACTTCTTATCCGGCATCAAGCCCGCGTACATGAATGCAGTCATAAGTGCCGGGGCGCCTTCACCCGGTCTGCTCGTCATTTGTGCCTTGATGTACGCCAGCTGCCTGCCTGCCATCTGCCAGACAAATTTGGGGCTCTTACGGTAATACAACTTGAAAGCCGTGCTGGCCCTCAGCAGCGCCCACGTGTTCATTTCCCGGTCCGGGATGAAGGACAGCTCGAGCAACCTGATCACCTTAGAATCATCGTTGGTTCCGGACTTGTCCATGGCCTCGGGCGTGATGGCGCACCATTTCTCATAGACCTGGTTGACGCGGACGGGGTAGGAGTCGGCGCTGTCTCTCATGTCCTTATTTTTGACCAACCTGCCGTATTCCTTTTCCACTTCGCCGATGCGGTTCTCGAGCGTGGTGAGTAGCAGTGCGCAGGATCGTGACTTTTTGCCGAAATCTTTGAAGAATGCGTGGTAGGCTGCGAGTTCCGGGTCCCAAAAGTGGGCACCGTCCTCTGTGTCCTTGGCCGCTTTCATGGCGTTGTGAAAAGATTCCAGTTCCTTGTCGATTGCGGGCCTAGCGATAGTGAATTTCAGGTAGTCAATGATGTGTGTAGGCTCTCCACGGCCGAACCAGTTGTCGCTTTTGTAACCTGGTTCAGGGAGAGACAACATGCCTCCAAGCAACTCCCTACGCAACTGAGCCCAGCTCGCTTCATTAAATATGATACCCTGCTTGCTCTGATCGACGAGATTTCCAACCAGTGAACTGAGAATGATAGCCGGCTCATTACAAACACTGTTATTGATGTAACAGAACCTTTCCTTGTAGTTGGTGCACATGCCCAAGAAGTTAGGCTGCATGGCAAAATGGAAACTCTTCTGGATCATGTCGTATATGGCCTGCTCCTTAGCCTCTGGGCCAGCGCCGTGTGATGCCAAAATCTGCTTGAATGTCGTTTTGTCCTTCCTAAGGTACCTCGACAGGTCAGGCTCCAGAGGCATCTCCGCGTTGACGAAACCAGCGACAATCTCCGGATCCCAGCAGACCCACGCCATATCGCCGTCGTAGTCTCCACCAGATAGCTTCTTAGCAAGCGGTATATCTCCTTTAGTAGAGAAGATGATAACATCCTTGAGCATATGAAGCTCTGGCTTGAAGACTGCTCGGACACGTTGGATATCACTGGGGAAATGGGCTGGAGATCGTGCCACCAGGACATCGCAGTCGGATAGGAGTGTGAAAGACTCCTCCTCGTCTCTGAACTTGGATGAAAATCCGACATGAACCTCATTTTCCTCGAGCACATCCCAGAAATCGGCAATCATGTAGATGTACGCTGATCGACCGACCCGAATGTTCAACTTGGACTTTAAGGTGTCGCACTTCCGTTTTTGGAGATCCCAGGCGATGTCTTGCAGGAACTTTTGCTTCTTGGGGTCAAATCCGCTGTTCATCAAGTAGTTCAGTGTCTCCTCTTGGCTGTCAGGGAGCCCGGCAAGAAAAGGCACACGGCCGTGGCTGACTCGAGTTGCGCGAGTAGAGTAACTCTCGTAAACCCACTGGCGGAACTCCACAGGACGATTCAACGCATGCTTTTGCTCGCTGAACTGTCGTTGCAAATCGTTAACGAGGCGGTCACCGATTGCCTGACGCATCTTCACCTTGTCCATGGCCCTATCCTCCAGGACAGGCAACAGCTGCAGGTTGAGGCCGGCTGACTTCAGTTCAGAAGCCACACTGCGGACTTCCAAGGTCCGTTGATGTTTGTCGACAAAGTCACATTCCCACTTACGCTGGGATGGATATGTCTCGATCCAGTCATCATCGCCCATGTCGTTGACGTCGATAACCCACATTCCCTTGGCCGAACCAAACCGCCCTTGGACAGCAGAGGGCACGTCGCCCAAGCCGAGAACATCGCGGATCTTTTTTGCCACGCTTCTCGACATGCGGCCTACACCATCATTCATCACTTCGTCAGTGCCTGAAGGTGAAAGGATATCCGACTTGTGGTGTATGATTTGGTGAGGCTCCAGCGTCATGATGGCATAGGTCTTACTCAGACCGAGTTGGATACGGGAAAACAGCTTGAGGTGCGGCTGCCAAGTGTTGTTGTCGAGTTGCAGTAACCAGTTCAGCATTTTGCTGACTTTGAACTCGGTTCGTTGGTCCACAGGTTCCTCTGCCGGAACGACAGCTCTCTTGCCGAACACATCAGGTCGAAATGTGTGGCCGGTCTCAGCAAATAAGTGAACTCTCTCCTTGATGATGGGTTTTGGATCATCGGCATGAAGACGGAACTCCTTGAGAGGCTTCCTGTATCCGGCATCTTTGGCGAAGAAAGCGCGCCATTGGCGGCCTACGAGGGAATGTGGCTCCTTGGTGAGCCACTGGATGACTTCTTCGACAGCACCTGGTTGCTTACTAACAACCGGCGGAACGCTCGGGCTAGTGCTCGTAGGCGACGGTATAAGGATCTCGAAAAACCTATCAGGACCGAACCGACGGGTGAGTCGACAGCCCTGCTCGAAGATGAGCGGCTTCAGCTTCACAAGGTAAAGGGGCGCAGTTGGCGAGTTATCCGGGTTGTAGTCTAGCACAGCAGAAAGAACAACGGCACTACCCTTGCTCTCAAAGTTGCCCGTCATTGCGGTATCGAACACGTCGGTGGCCGGCTTTTCTGGGAATGTTTTGCCTCGGAAAGCATCGAGCTGGTAGAGACTTTTCCAGATATCCGTGACATCGCGCGCGGTAGACCAGGAAGGGTCGTACTTTAAGCCCAAGCTCTCGTCTTCCAAATCCACTTTGCAGTGCATGAAGAGTCTGGTGACTTCCCATGCAACAGCAAGAGGAGCTTCGTGCAGCCATTTGGGGAATTTTGGCCAAATATCCTTCAGCCGAGCTGCAACAGCCGGTGCATGAACTTGAGCCACCGGTTGAGCAATTTGTTCACCCCGACCCAGTCCATTCGAGCGACTCGGCTCAGGAATTGCGCCCTCGCCGCCAGAACTTGGAAACGAGCCGTAGATACTGCTGAATGATGTTTCACCCTGGGAGGACGAAGAAAGGAACTGGTTCTCGACATGGGCCTTTGCTGCCCTTCCCTTGCTAGGAGATTCAGGCATGTTTCCAGTCTCGAAGACCTTGGCATCCACGGGTCGCTTCTTCCTGAGTCGTGAAGGAGGAGCCTCAGTACTACTCTGGGAAATGCTCTGGTTATGACGACCAGTGTTAAAGACACTCGAACCATACGAGATGCCTTGTGATGTAGTATTGAGAGAATCCACCTGGTCTGCTCGTCTAGTACCCGTTGCCGTGGGATCACTGGTATTCGCATGCCTTCGACTCGGTACTTTGTCCAAAGCGCTCGCAATGGGCATGGGCGGGACGGCGGCAGCGGCGACATTATCAAACAGCTTGCCCTTAGCCCGCTTAGTGCCTTGGTTGGGATCTCCACTCTCGAGAGACGGCCGTTTAGAACCGGTATTCACTGGATCGGGAAACTTTGGGGGTATCGCCGCGCTGTGAGTGGGAGGGCCTGTGGCCGAGCGAGCAAACAAGCGTTTGGGCGGATCAGCGAAAGTGACATGGGCAGGCTCATCGTTGCGCTTAGTGCTGGTGGGGGTTGGGCGGCTCAGGCGGCTTGGGCCGCTTAGAGTTCTTCCAAGCGTTCGAGCTGGCGTGTTGTTAGGAGGTGGCATAAACCTATTAAGCACCTCGAGCAAGACGGTCTGCAATTGCCATTGTTGGCCCGCAGTCGTAGCGCGTGGGGGTTCTTTGGACCACGAAAGGGTATCAGGGTCGGCGTGGGCCTTGGGTATCCAGTTCGAGCTCGCAGCTTTGGCCTCGATGAAGAAGTTGGTTTCTGCCTGTGTCAGAGATTCATCCTTCTGCCAGTAAAGGAAATTGAGAGCTCTGTATATCTTGTCATGGCGCCCGAAACTCTCGTCTCCCTCGGCCAGCTCCTTCCGGCGGTGCGGGGTGAGAGTTGCGTCTGCGACGCACTGGATGCCCAGGTTATAGTCGGCATTGAGCCGGTTGATGATTTCCTCGACGGAACTATTCCTCTTTCTAGGAGTAATGGGGTTCATTTGTGCCGTGGGAGATCGGGCCTGGAGAAGTAAACAAACGAATTAACGACCAGGTAAAAAAAAGATCGACCACCACCGCAAAGGAAGACATCGCGACTGTGAGATATACCTAATCCCCCGACTTGAGCCTCTACAGAGCGGGAGCGTCTTGGGTGTCTCGGGCGACGAATGTGCGGGAGCAAACAATGCCACCGTGGTTTTGCCCTCCAAAGCTTTGCGGTTGTCAAGGTGAGCGACAGGTAAATCTTCGCGAACTTGATCCTCTTGTATGTTTTTTGAGCTCGATTAACCGATTTTCCTGAAATCAGCCTTGGCCATATCCGCCTATCTCGTTTGCTTCACGAAGTCGAGATCGAGGAGCAAAAGCAGGCGCAGCGGGAAAAGGCGAGTTGGGTTGGTATTTGGGCTGATCGAGTTCAAAGACACGGTTCGCGCAAAGCAGGACAAGGTGGTTTTTCGTGGACCTGATGGCGCGAGGTGTTTGGACACCTTTGAGCATTTCGGACGAACTTGACCGAGCTTTGTGCCGTGTTTATGATTAGCAACGCCCGGAACTGATTTGGGCAAAAGCTTCGTCTGATCCGAGGAGTTGCAATAGTGAAGGGGACATTTCAACCGCAATGGATGGCTATAGAACCGCGCCGAGCTGTCGACTGTTTGGAGTGGTTGCCGATTAGTCCCAACCCAACTCGAGACGTTTCCAGATTAACGCCCAAGCCGCTGCAAGAACCTGCCACAGGATCGAAACGGCCGCTGTCGGCGCAATTGGTCACATTCAGCCCGATGTTCAAAAGAGCGCGGCGGTAGTGGTATTGCTGGTATGGGTGGTGATATCACTGGTAGTGGTGGTGAAGGGTAGCCGCCGTGGCCGCGCAGGAGTCGCAGGCTCGCAGCCTTTTCGCATCATGCGACGCGCCCATTTTGGGACTGACTGTATGCACCCTCTGAACGCCTATCTTTTGCGTTTACTTGCAGAAGCTGCAGGGGATGGCAGCCCTAGGAGGGGTCCACAGTAAGTGACAGGTCGCTGCTGTCAGGGTGCCGGTGGGGGGGGGGGGGGGGGGGG